ATGATGCCACAGGCAAGAATTCATGAATATCAGCAGTTTCTCACCATTTTGTTGGGTTAATCCCTTGTTTCAGTTGGAGAAATAGGCACTTCTCTTGCATACATTACACCGGTGCCTGCACATCACATCCACACAAAGTGAAAAGTACCTTTACATCCGGTCCCTCTGATGTAATGATGAGTGAAGTTTTATGTATCGGGGTCACACAGTTTTTTTGTTTTGTGTCTATCTCAGCAGCTCCTTTTCGACAAGAGTGGAAAATCAGAAATGCAGCGACGGGGCAGATGGATTCAGATCAAAACACAGTGACCAGTGGAGGACACAACACATGGAACAAGCATTAATGAAGCCTGATCTCATGGGAATTCTAGTTCTTATTTGGAAATCTTCTGATTTGAGTGGAAATTGACCAAAACCTCCACCGCTGCTGACACGACAAACACGTGACTCCTCTGAAGGCATCCGACATGGAGCGGAACACCTTGTGGCACCCAACTCAGCACCGGGTGGGCGGTCACTGGAAGCCGGGTGGGGCGGGGAGCCGGGGCACAGTCCCCTCGCTCACCGCCACCGAACCGAGCATCGTGCCTCCGAGCTATGCAATTATTTTCGCACTGCGTCCAATATCAACTTGAGAGCAATGCAAATTATTTAAGACGCGCTTTTCAGGGCTCGCAATTATAATAATGATGATCTCAATTAGCGTTGCCATTGCCTCGGACTATTTAGCAGGCAATTTTGCAGCCTGGGGGCGAGGGTCTTCGAGGGAGCCGACACGCATCGTCAGGTCAGAAGTGGTGGAGAGAGGAAGAAAGAGACAGGCAGAGAGAGAGAGAGAGAGAGTTGGCACTCTTAATCAATAAACTGCAAGACTAGAGATATTTACCACCCAATCCCACAAGGGGACGGTTCATAAATTGACCTAATTGGTCAGTGTTGGAGATGAAATGAATGATGCCAGCATCTAATTCAGAAGGGCAGAATGTAAGCCATTTGGCCTCTTTACCATTGTACCGAGGAGACAGCTATTACATCTCAGGAAGTTAAAGGAGTAGTTTGCCTAAAACGTGCACTTTATCCAGAGAGTTAGATGAGAAGACTGATACCACATTCAACATGCAATGGTACCATCCATACAAACTAAGTCAGCTCATTTCCAAATATGCTAAACTATTGCATTAAAAGCTTACAAATCACTCGCTTTTTCAAGAAAATTAACTCAAATTTCAGTGCATTCTCTGTTACCCAGCCTCTCATGTAGTAGACTGCTCTGCCACTGTATATTAAAGGGACTTCTTTTCCCCCCAGCATTCATGTGGAAAAGACTTGCACCACCAGCTACCCTTTCTTTTATTCATCGTACTGTAAATAACTCCACTTTATGAAAAGCAGCCAGTGTGACTCACGGATACCTCTCTAACCACAACCCATTATTATTTCATGGCCTTTGAAAGAAGGGTCTATAGCAGGCGCTCTCACACTTTAATGTCGGAGCTCCCTCTGATGTTGTGTAGTACACAGCGGCCCTTGTTGCACTCCGTATGCGATCCCTCACTTGAATTCACAAACACTTCCAAGTGCATAAATAGCCATGGAAGACGAGTGCCTTTGCGAGCTAGCTAATGCTCTGGAACGCCATTGCTGAGGAGATAACAGGGGCCTGCCATGGCTGATGCCTGGAACTGTCATTGAGGGGGAGAAATGTGTCTGTGTGCCTTTATGAAAAATGCTGTTGTCTTGACCTCTCACGGGACATCATATGGTAAGGAAAAAAGAACACGCATCAGCGTTACGATTAAATGACCAACGGACATGATTCAAAGGGTCCCACGATGTCCCAGAGCACCCGTTGGAACGTGTAGAAGGCTCCCGGCATACAGACGAGCTAATGGGCAACCTATTGGTCATGGTAGATTCAGTTTGAATCTCAATGAGGGTGTCAGCGTGTGGCTGCTCCATGACCGACAAGGTGTGGTAGGCCTGCTGGAGTTGATTTAGCCACGCGGCCTGTCATAGCGTTTTATCGGTCAACATCCATCAATCGAAAGGCTAAAAGGCGTGTTTTTTTCCCCCTGTTCTTTTGAAGTGTCAAGGGGAAAGTGCTGTCTTGAAGATGGATGAAAAACGTCTGATGAAATTATACGTCTGTTTTCTATCCACACCATGCAGTACCTTGATGTTAATAATTTTCTACGCGAGCATGACAACAGACTTTACAATATGGTTTGTGCCCAAACCACTTTTGCAGTATACGTAGCCCAGAAATGAAGCCTATATAGCTGGGTGAGTCGCTCTTACAAAAGTATTTTCAAAAGTACATAACAGTACTGCCGTGCATACTGGGACATGCTTGTGGTGAAAGTAGTGGGCTTGAATCATACAAAGGCTAAACCCATTACGGGGTCCATGGGGGTGGGCAATGCAGTGCCTTGTACCCGCTCTAGGTGCTGGAAGCCCAAACAAAGCCTTGTAACATATACATTAAACTTTAATTGTTTTTTTCCAACCCCTTCCTTCACATCTCCGTAGTAGCAGCTCCTGAAATGGTAAAAGTGTGCTAGATTTTCATGGCTGTGCCTTTGTAGAATAAAAGATATATGTGTAACAGGGGAGGGGGGGGGGGGGGGAAATCTAGTCTTTGATGCTGGAGGTAGACAGTTGCTTTTCAAATTCCAAGTTTTGGTCCTTTATTTTATTCAGCAGTGAAATGCCATGAATACAGAAAATAATAACGTCTGTTACAATTCTCAACCACGACCTTCTAATGTCAGAGAACCTTTAACGTATGGACACAGTACACAGTAATGAAAAGTATCAAAAAAAGTATTTGAATCTCGATCAAAAAGGAAATGAAACAAACAAAAAAAAATAAGTTTTCACCAATTACATAAACATATGTTTGCTACAGTCCCAATTTACTGTATACATAGGGGGATCATATTCCCAATTATTAGAGAAGGATAGCAGTAGAAAGGATACATGACTCAACTGCCAGACATAATGCTTCATAAAGTATGCACAGAGGTACAAGCAATAAATACACACATTAGGTTAAAGCCTTACAGCTACGCAAAGCAGATGCAGAAAAAAGCAGGTTTGCTATTCTTTAGCGAGCAATGAGAGAGAAACAGTAAAAATTCAGGTAAGTCAGAAAAGAAACACTGAGATCTTTTTTTTTTCTCTTAGAAAAAAGTCTGGTAAATTTATGGGTCCACCAACAATTTTTTTTTACATAAGTATGCACAGTTATCAAAATACAGACAAAATCAACCCAGAAAATCCAGACAATCCTAAAATCTAGTGGAGGAGCAGATCGCAGTTCTGGAGGTCTTTCTGGTATTATGTGCAAGCAACTATTTTAGACATTTTTTTTTTTTTTTTAACTTAATTTATACAAAACCCATGCAAATCTACAGGTAATATGCATTCTGTGGCTGACAGGTTGTATCCCTCCCAAAACAGTATATCTGAGGTAACGCACTCCTACGCATTTGTACGTACATTTTCGGCCATCGTCCCGATGATTTTTATTATTATTCTTTTTATTGATTCTTGTTTTCCAGTCCACCAAATGATTTTTAGACATGCATTTTTAAAACACAATATTCCCTTACAGGTAATCTATACATTATCATTCTACAAATGTTTGAGGACAACCTATTACAATGCAAATCTTCCGTATCTTGACGCAGGGAATGTAAACGTTGGTTTGAGCCACGTCCTGGGAGACGAGCGTTTGTAGAGTGTAACCGCTCTTGGTGGCGTTCTAATAACTCGTGCAATCTGTCATAATTGTTCTGAATTTGTTGTGCAGAGGTAGAAGCTTTTAGAAAGCCTTTTTGGGTAAGTGGGAGAACCCCTTTTTTTCTCTTCTTTTTTTGTTTGAAAGACGCGGCGTCCTTTTTATTTGGTGTGATAAGATTATTAAGAACGTCGTCTTCAAGTCGCTTTGCTGACTCCAGCTAAGTATTGAAGGGATAAGCTTCGTTCCTGGGCCCAGTACCCTCTTGACGTGGAACTGGCATGTGTGTATGTGTGTGTGTGTGTGTGTGTGTGTGTATTTACATGCTGCGTGTTTGTACAGTACTGCACGTGTCTGCGTGTTAAGCTCTCACAGCCAACTCCTTGACTTGGCACAACGCTTGAAAACAACATATGCACAGTGTTTCCATTTTGGTCGTTACAGCACAATACAAAGCCACTCGTCGGTTCTTTGACAGCATACATGTTCTGCAGCTGGAGAGTTAACCGAAACAAGAAGGTCGGCAGACCAAAAGCTCGGGGGTCTGTGTATATATGTGTGTGTGTGTGTCTGTTCGCCTGCGTGTATGCTAGTCTCTGACAGGGTGTGTGTGTGTGGTTGTTTTAGCATTTTGTTATCCCATACAAGAGGAGGCAGAATTTTGTGTAACTTTGGTTTACTGAAAACAGAAATGACCATTAAAGCAACAACACTTTTCTAGATGACATTAGCCGTGAGGGAAAGGATGGGACTGTAGTCTCCAGGTGAACTACTTCTCTTTAAATACACAAGTGTGTTATAAAAAGCTGGTTACCTATACAGAGTACATCAGCGCTTTACACCAGTTGCATCTGTATAGTTTAGAAGCTGTGAACCACACGACGAGTACTTGATGACGTTAAAGCAAATATCAGCTAGAAAAGGTTCACTTTCACCTTCGATATCCTCCTCTGCAATGGCTATTGTTATTTGCTTTCACATGGTAACCGAGCCATTTCATATCAGCTTGAAATTATGACTTTTTGGCTTCACTAGATATTTTTTCATGTTTGGTTAGCGATGTTTTCAGTTTCGGTTTTCGACGCAGCTCGGGGGAAACAAAAACCGCCACGGAAATAAGACGTGACATTATTTTGACAGTCCCACTTAGAACATTACATATTCACCAGGTCAGAAATAAAAGAACGTAAAACAAAAAATAAAAACAATGACGTGTGATGTGTTATGCATTAAACAAAGTAAAACAAATTAAAATAGAAAAAGAAAAGAAACTTCACAACAACACAATGTTTCTGCACTTCCATTGAATACACAAATGTTTTGTTTTGGTCAGGATCCACTTTTACAGTTAGCTGCTCTCTACCAGTCAAATCACAAAAAAATGCCTGCAGTTCAAATATCACATCACCTTTTTTTTTTTACCTACAGTACGTCTGGCAGAAAATCTCCAAAGTGGACGTTGAATGAGTTATCAAATTACACATCAAAATCAGCATTTACTTCCCCCCCCCCTCTCCATCTCGTGATCATCTTTGTATAGGGCTAAATGAAACAATCCCAGAGGTTATTCGAAGGTAGTTTGCGGAAACAAAAGCTTCTCTTTGTACTAGTTTAAAGTCACAGAAGACGGACCAAGAGGAGTTTGGTGGCTTCTGTCTATAAGCTATTGGCCATTGCTAGTGTTGGCTTTGGTTTCTAGCTGTTGCCTGTGACTGTTTGCAGGTAGACAAAGCTTTAGAACGAGGAGGTAAGGAGAACAGCAAGAAGAAAATTATGCGGAAATGCATTGGTTTTTGTAAATGGTGCTTTATACAAACTACTATTTCCCCCAACTTGATTTCCAGTTGTTTTTTTTGTTTTTTTTACTTTTAATCACAAACAGATAATAGACTGGAAGCCAACTTTTCTTTCCTTTTTTTTTTCACTATTTTTTCTGGACAGCTGCAACAACAGTCTTGGTACCGCGTTTCCATGACTGGTGTGATTCAGGGAATGGCATTTACAGTTGTTGGTGTCTATAAATCAGATTTTGAAATTAACGATGGTTAAAAAAAAAAAAAAAAAGAAGCTAAAAATAATATACTGGTTTTCATTATAGTAGCAACATACAGGCAGTGACACAAATTTCTGAGACTACTCCTGTGCAAATCATAACAGAGCAACAACTTGAATTGAACCAGCAATTGTCTCTAGACATGAACAACTACTGGGGGGGTTGGATTATTCACAAACATAAAACGTCTTCCTTTTTGGCAGTATATGAGGCCGCTAGCTTTCAACGGAACATGATTTGCTCATTTGTTTCATGTTTCCCCCCCCCATCCATGAGTCCATCATCCTTGTACTGTGTGTGGCTACGCCTTGTCTAATGAAATAGGTCTCAAAGAGTTAATTCTAATCAGACATCTCATGCCTGTCATGTGTGGGGGATCCCAAAGGGCTGCAACAAAGAGTTCCTTCGGACCGGTCTCCATCCGGATGCATGCTCAATAAATAGTCCCAGTGGTGAGAGAGACAAAGAGAGAGTCAGCTGTGGTTGCTTGGACTGTGGAGTGGTTTGGAGTCTTGCAGAGGGTTTGTGTGAGAGAAACAGTGCGGCTGGGTGAAGGGACATGTTGACCAAAAACTGCATCCTAGTCACTCCAGGTCGTCTGATAAGTTCCCTTCCTCCAGCTCCCGGTCGTCGTCCAGCTCTGGACTGTGATTGGCTGTCGTCACCAGTGACATCGGACAGTCATCTTCATCCATGTTAAGTGGCTCCTCCTTCACGTGAATGGGAAGCCTATTGACACAATCACATCGACGAGAAATGTTAGATTTTCATATGTTTTATGGGACATTTTCTGCAGCCAATAGCACTTTTTTGACCTCATTGATGTCATTTTGAATTACCTGCTAAATGTACAGCTGTTAGCAGTTAAGAGAGCAAGAAAATAAAGAAAAGCTAATTGTTACCGTTATAGATTATTTAAAAGAGAGAAAGGGTTTCTGGTCATTAAGCCCCTTTCCTGCACATGGAATACACAATGTGGTGTTCAGCTCACAGATACATATTTTGTTGTATCAGAAAACAGGCAGATAGCAGCCATTACATGCATCATCTAGTGAAAGTAACAACCGTGTTGTTTGCGAGACACTAATTCGACATGATGGCTCACGTCTACTGTAAGTAAGCGCATGAAAATTGCATGAAAAACATGGCCCTGTAAGGCCGATAAGCTGTGATGTTCCAGACATGTTTGGCATTTAAAAGTTTACTGATGACACCAGGTTGAAATACATGAAAAAGGAAAAAAGGGGGAGAAAAAAAAAAACAGGCCACATGATAAATAATGGAGAATTTCTCATCCCTAAGCCCCCTGGAGCAAAGGCAGAGGAGAGGCTTTTTTATCTAGTTAATAGAAAGCGCAGCCACTCGTTAATATGCAGGGGCTGTGCATGTCGCTCCTCAAGAGGAAAAACCGGCAGCTAGGTTCTGCCATTAATCAACTTCAGCCCCGGCAGTTGGCTCGGACACCATGATACATGTTTTTAACTCTAAATGGATGAATATCTTTAGCCACTGTCAATAAGCGCCGGGCAGGAAGCAGCAGCGGCGGCGCTGCGAGCAGGACGCCGCTCCCCTCAGAACAACAGAGGAGTGGGCGGAAAAAAAAGTGTTGGGCGAGTAAAAAAAGAATAATAATGCTGTCACACACAAACAAGGCATAACATGATCTGGGGCCCTAGATGGGGAGAGGGGTTTGTGCCACGATGATAAATCTGACAAAACCTAATTATTTCTGACGCATCGGATGCATCAGAAAATCCCCCTGGACTATGAAAGAGGGGAGTGGAGAGAGAGGGGGACTTATCAAGTGGTGGTGCGTTAGGACGCGTCTCATAGCCTCTCTCCTGGGTTGCCTTCATCAGTGGAAGGGGGGGCGGGGGAGAGGGGTTTTGAATTTTGAAGAGAATTTTAAAAGGTACAGATGACTTTAATATTCAAACCAAACACTGTAAATTAATATTCTGATGTGGCGGGATGAAAAGAAGAGGCTGATCTTAGCAGGATACAAGTGGACCGATGAATATTTCTGTTTCTGCCCCTCATTCATGGAGGCAGCGAGAGGGAAAAGAAAACACACAAACAGAAACACTGTGACCCGAAACTACCAAGCCCACAGAATGAAAAGACTCATTTCTATTAAGCAGGAAATTCAAGTCTGTCGTTGTTTTGTGAAATACAGTAAAATCCAAACATACTCATTTTTGTTCTTTTATGTAAGTCATTGAAAAAAAAATGTATCAACAACAGATTCAATATTTATTCTCCAGCCTTTTTAAATACTACTTATTATAACAGTAAATTGAGTTTGGGACTTTTGGGCATATATCTACAGACTAAAAGATGACACATTGAAATATTTGTTCAATGATAAAATCGTTAAGGATAAAGGTACATTTTAAAACTTTAATTCCCTTTAGTCAGGATTCATACGCAGCATCTTGTAAACCCTTTAGTATTATTGTTTATAATAAAGGCTTTATAATACAGTATAATGTGATTGTACCAACTAGAAGGGCATTTTTAAGTGATTATTCCAGCCACAGTATTTGTTAAAAAATACAAATATTTACTGTATTGTCATTTATTGCATTTATACACCACCCTCAAATGATGGGTGCCCACAGGAGGAGTTAAAGTTGTCAACAAATACTTTAATAAAACACTAATCTGTTTACTACCACATCATAATGTGCTATACACCATGTATTAACGTTTATACACTGCGTACCAAAGATCTCCTCCGTTATTCGAATATGCAGCTCATGAGCTGTTTTGTGTGGCTTTGAAGAAAAATATGCAGGACCATATTCACAGGCCTGAGCTTTCTGACACTTTATTAAAATATGTGGATGAGCCATTTAGTACTTAATGGCTGGCTGCCATTACTGAGTCGCTCAGGAGTAAACGCCGGACTTTGCGGTGTAATAAATACGTCGTGCTCCGCGTTTGTGTGTGCGTGCTTTCGAGATGCCTGCTCTCACATCAATTGGAGATTAGCACCAGCAATCATGCAGAGGTATGTCAGGGATGCAAATAAGGTCGTTAGTCCACGGGCCTAATGGTAGGTTGGGGGACAGGAGAGGTGGTGTGGTGTAGTGGGGGAGGACGAGGGGAGTGGGGGCAGTAAAGGGAGGCGGTGAGGACTGAGGGGGGGGGCAACGAAATATATTCATAACACCTCACTGTGATTCATTAACTAACACCAAACAATTTGATGTGACAGCACAAGACGCGGCCGATGAAATAGAGTGATATTACGTAGATTTGATTTGCTTTTATTTGACTCCAGCCGGAAGTTGGTTTCTAGGAATAAATGCCCCACTCCGGTCATTCTCATTTGGTGTGGAGTTGCTAATGCGCTCACGCTGATTTAACAGTTGCAGAGTCTCTCCTGGTATACAGTACTACTTCTTTTAAGCTTCACCCCTTAGGGTCTACATGAGTGTACTGCACATGCATGCACGAGCGCAAACACACATACACATCCAGCATGGCCTGGGGCGATCTGGTTTGTGGTTAAGCAGATAGCATTAACCTTCAGCCGTTGCGGGGAAGGAGAGGTTTGTCTAATTGTTGGATTGACTTGGTTGGGCTGAGGAGTCACTCTCCTGAGAAAGGCCTTCAAGGTGATGTGCTATTTAGTTTAGTGCTACAAGCCACTCCATTATTTAAACAACATCCTGGAAAAGCCAGTCGTGAAAAACACATTTCTTCCATTTTGAGGTTGTCGTGGCTGTGTAAAGGCAGGCGGTGATGGAGGGAGGGAGGGATGGATGAATGCATCTCATCCTCCACAGCCACTCATGTCAGTGTCAAGGCAGCGTGGCCAGAGAGCAGAGAGAGCAAAGCAAGAAAGAGAAAGCCAATGCCGTCCGGTTACTAAAAGTTAAATGACCTGGGGGAGTGGTAACACTGGGATTCTGTCTCGAGCCTGGGCAGATTTGCTCCACTTAACACCCCATTTCAGAGAGGGGTAAACACGTCCAAATAGATTAACGTATAGATGTCTGGTAGGGCTAACCAAACACTTCTTTTTTCTGTTCTCACAGACACACTCGGAGAGAGGCATGCAGCACGAGTGCACCCTTTAACCATTACAGAAGTGGTTAGCTAATGTCGCCCGACTTTGCAACATGGGCTTTGATGGGCAGTGGATGAGAATCATTAATGTGCGATTTCTGTTTGTCTCATGTGTGCCTGGTGAGTGTGTGTGTGTTTCCCTGCATGCTGCTTCCACCACAGCGAGGGACATGGCCCGCTCAGGTTGTTTCAGACATTTCCTGAAACTCGCATGAGATTCATTTTTTTTTTTAAAAACACTCTCTTTCTCTCTCAGCTCCATTAAAACAGAGATGGGGGGAAAAAGGAGAGATTTTTAAAGTAATTACACTTCAATATTAATAGGAACAGTCTTGCATAAAACATAGCAGCTAAAACCCTATAATGCAGACGGTGGTGTAATTAAAGATGAATGTGTAATAGAGCCTATTTATAGAGTTTGAACCAACTGTTATCCAAAGCGTCAGGCTCACCTCAGGTATTAGCACAATGCCATTAAAATAAAACCAAAGCAGAGACAGAGAGAGAAGTCTGATACGATAAGATACTGGAAACTGAACCTTGCCCCCGGGGTCATGGCATACTGAAGAACATACTGGTACTGTGGGTTAAATATCAAGCAATTAAACTAACAAAGGGCATAAGGACAGCGAGTGTAGGAGTGGAGGTGGGTGGTTGAACATGTGCTTGCATTCTCAAATAGGTACTCGTAAAAAAATGTGTGAAAAGATGTGTGACACAATTATCTCAAGAAGGGATTCTGGGTTAAAGGATAATGATGGTTTACATTCTTGTTTTCACTTGACTACTGTTTTTTTTATGATAATCAAATGAACAGCAATACATTGTTTAAAAAAAATAAAAATAAAAACAGTAGTTATCTTTTGCATTCATGCTTGGATGGAGTATCGGTTGCAGGAGTAATCTGTTGGAACTCACATGTGTACTGGTGGGGAGTATCCGGGGCTGCCGTGTCCGTTGGTGTCCAGGTGGTCGAGTGAGCCGTTGAAACCATCGTGGGCAGAGTGCAACAGGTTGGGGGGGCTGCCGCTCAGCATACCTGGGGGGCTGCCACCCAGCAGTCCATGCGGACTCCCGCCCAACATTCCGTGCGGACTTCCGCCCAACAGTCCGGGTGGACTCAAGCCCGTCAGGATGGACGGATCTCCGCCCAGGAGGCCATGGCAGCTGCCGCCCATCGGGCCGTTGGAGCCGCTGTTCATGAAGCCGGGGGTCCCCAGCAGGGAGGTCTCAGCCAGGGCAGCCTGCAGGAGGGAGGGAAATGGAGAAGGCATATTGAGGATTAGAGTTTGGAGGAAGATGGAGGAAGGATATGTGGGCGTAGCCATGTCAAAAGGGATGAGAGAGTTCAGAAGTGTAAAGGGTCGGGGGCAGGTGAGGCGTGTGGAGGGAGAGAGGGGAAGCATGAAGATCGATACAAGAGGAGGATATGGCAGCTAGAGAGAATGGTAAGATTTAACATAGTAATTATTAAAACATAGTTGTCTCATGCTCAAGTTGTTCTACTCTGTTGCTGGCTATTTTCCCCCCATGTGACACCTTGCTGACAACTACCTCCCCCCCAGCTGCCATTCATATGCCCTTGTGTGGTGTGGCTATTAAAAAAAACTCCCCCAAAACCTTACCTCAAAATAATAAAAAACTCCTGACACTTTCGCCTGCTGCGCATTAAAGTTATATACAGTGATTAAATTTTTAAAGTTTTTGCCATGAGCACCTTCGCCGGTGTACCCTATGAAGCCAAATCATTTATGACAGCTTAGATAAATATTAATGCACATGCCCTTGCATTTGCACATGCCACTATCAATCTAGGGTGGCTGCCACAGCAAAAAGAAGGGGGGAAAAGGACGGAAAGAAAGAAGGGGGGGGGGGGGGGGGGGGGGAGAGTTGCTTCCTTATTCGACCACAGGGTGGCCTTCTGAGTCTGACGGTGTACAGGAAGAAGAGAGGAGGAGAAGGAGAGAGAAAGACAGAGAGAGAGGAAAGGTGTAAGAGAAGAGATACAGAAACCTGAGAATAAGGACAAAAAGAACCTGCTTTCTCTTATGTGTGTGTGTGTGTCCTAATGTGGAGCCCTATTGTTCACGGTAACCATGCTCATTCAAGTCACACATTCCGTCAATCAGTCAGGCAGTAGTCTTGCCTGTCAGTCAAACAAACAGGCAGCTGGTGAGTCAGAGCTTTCGGTTCATACCTGTAAGCTGGCGTTTAGTGCACTTCCATAGCCAAGACTGGAGGGCAGGTTCTTGACAAGTGAAGGGCTTCTGGATACATCCAAACAAAAAAAAGAAATGAGTTCAACCTGTAACTTGCCTTGTTCGTAATAATGTTGCGAAAATATATCTAATATTAGTCGCTAAAGAACAAATTGCACAGCAGAAAGACGAAACAGTCCATGTGATTAAGAAGTAAGAAATAACTGGACAGAAAAAGCAGGCGGAGAGAGGGTGCGTTTCCAAGAAGAGGACTGAATTTGGGCCCTCTGATCCTCTACATGTCGTTGCCCTTCAGATCTAGATCTAAGGAGAGGTGACAGGATTCGTACCCTGTGATCTTCTGCGACCTGCGTTTCTGGTACTCCATCTCATCTACCGTCCACACCGCCCCCTTCACGTTCTCCACGCGCACGAAGCACTTGTGCAGACTGAGGTTGTGGCGAACAGCGTTCTGCAGAGAGACGTGACACGCAGGTCAGAGGGATGAGGTAAAATGAGTCGCATTCATTCATTAAGCATCAAGAAAAGAAAAAAAGAAGGCTTGGAAATTGATTTTTTTGCATTTTGAAGAAATTCTTAACATTCACGCACCATTGATTTAATTAGTAAAAATTGAGTGAGAGCGAATGCTCTTACCAGTCCTGCACACAGTACATATCAATCAGAGTAAGTAGGCTAAAAGGAGGTAATCAGCATAGCGAATGGCTTATGGTGGTGACAGAAGTGGTAATGCCGGCCTTGATAATGGTGATGTCAGTAACCCTTTCTGCTCCAGAAAAGCATTTCTCTTAATGGACACATCGCTTAAAAGATGACAGTATTGCAAGAAAAAAGACAGTCATCAGGAGGCCCTTGTGTCAGTGTGTGTGTGTGTGTGTGTGTGTGTGTGTGTGTGGGGGCCTGAAAGAATAAGGAGGATTAAGGTGAACTGTATCTGACATCTATACATCCAAATATTCTCCATGTGGTGTCACATCGGGTGTTGAATACATGCTTGAATGACACTTTACCTCTCCAATGTATTATGAAAAGCTGTGTTTAAATTAAAGCAGTATAAATCTTTCATACAATAAACCAGTAAGGTGTTTTCATTAATTACAAAATAAGGAAAACCTATTGAAAAAAAGGCCCTCTTAAATGAATATGACCATACGACCATAATTAAAACATGCATCAGACTCTACAAATAATAACCTTGGCTTTAATATCCCTGCCTCTCATATTTATCATCTGCCTTAGCTCAGTGTGTACTGCTCTTTCTCCAAGAAAAAGGGAAAAAAAACTCATAAGCAGATCTCGCATCTGACCTGAAAATCCCAGGATTTGATTGATCTTAATGCCCATGGCTCTGAATATGATAATTTTAATATTAATGAGCAAATGAGCAGTTTTATTATGCATGCTATATAGTTAGAACTAATAAGCTTCTGGGTGAGAGGAAAAGAGAGAAAGAGGAAAGGGGGGGGGGGGGTCGTTCTTTTGAGCTGTTGAGACCAAGCTGAGATATTAAACTACCTTTCATTTCAGTCTTTCTTTTCTTCTTCTCTCTTTTAAAAAAAAAAAAATTTTGGTCCGTTAATGACAAGCCCAAAACGCTGATCATCCCCACTAATGCTTACAAAGGGAATTGTGGAGATGTGGATGTCAATAGATCACCTTTGGTTATTGTGCGAGCCAGGAGACGAGGTATTTCTAATGTCATTGTGGTATCATTGCTATTTTATCACGGGGAACAGAGGAAAGCAAGAAAAAAAACTAAACATTTGAGATGGTGTGCAGCAAACAACAGCCACAAAAAACCTCTGAGAACATATCTTGTCATAACATAACTACGCAGCAAAACATGGCGCGCACTGTACCTAACAAACTGGAAAAGGGCACCGATCTTTTTGCATGCCCTCCTGAATTGGTGATCACAAGCCCATGTGCTCATTTGCATCCCAAATCCAAATTAATTCACTTTGCTAAATCTAGTGCCGCGCCACGTCTTGCATACTGATGAGCGGCTGTGGTCGGGGTTTTCCCTCCAGTCCTCCGTTCAGCCACAAAGGCTAAAGGCGGCTAACGAATGACGCGCAGGGGCCACGGGGACAAAACACTGACGCTCAGCGAGGCTTTCTTTATCAGCAGGCAGACACACTTCTGGTTAAAACATGTGCTGCAGGAAAGACTTGTTTTTTATTATCTCTGTGGAGGAAGACAGGAGAATAAAGTTGTAGGGACACATATACAAATGGGCCCTTTGTGTGGGTAAATAAGGAGTGCTACCTCCATGACAGGCCAATTCTCACTTTCCTCCCTGTCTTTAGTTCCACACCCTTAAACCCACTCTCAGACACAGTTTACGCGTTTGTGTACATGTGAGTTCCCATGAGCCTACACCCTTCACACAGCCGAGAGCTGGTTAACAGGCAAACAGCCATCTTTCTTACTAATTCACCAATGATATGCGGGAGAAGGTGGTTTCAGGACTAGGAGGTGGGGTGTCTCTCTTAACAAAAGGTGCTGATGATGGAGTGGCTGCTGTATAATTAGTGCATCACAGCGCTCTCCTCTCGAACACGCGAGCCTCCGCTATTAATTGCACCCAAATTAGGAAAACGATAGCTAAGGCAGAATAATTCCTTCAACTGTCATCTCCGAGCAGAAAAGGCGGAATGAAGGAACAAATAAATAAGAGGAACAACGGCCTCTATTCAAGAGAGAGGTGAGGAAGAAGGGGAGAGGAGTATTAATCGCTCGGGGCGCTGGGTAAATATGTCCTTTCTTAAGGTTTGGTTTTTGACTTCAGCGGGAGGAAGACGAGTGAAAGGGCATAGCTAGGTGGAGGTGGAGGGCTGCATCGTGGGCTGAGGGTACATTCGGGTTACCTTCCAAGTTGCAGCATTGCGTCTGAAGTAGGCGAACGTGCGCGTGAACCAGCTGTAGATTTCATTAAGCGTTAACTGCATGTCGGCAGAGTCCATGATAGCCTGAAATGAGATGACATCAAATAATGGTTTACTAACGAGACCACGTAACTGACGCGCACACACGCACACACGCGCACACACACACACACACACACACACACACACACACACACACACACACACACACCACCGGATTGAGAAAGCTGCCATGATTCATGCAGCAATTAATTTTAATCTAATCAGGCAAAGTTAATTTATTTCCCACTCACCTGTCTTATGAGGGTTGCATAAGTAAATGGCGGTCTGACATCTGCGTTCTTATAAAACTCGTAGTTTGGGGCAATCTCTGGAAAAATAAATACTGTGTCACCACCTGAAATAATTGGGTAAAATTTTAGTCCTTTAGGTATTGAATTTACCCAAGGTTACATCAAATTAAAAGGGGGGGAGAGAGAATGGTGAGAAAAAGAGGGTGGGGTGGGAGGGGGGTTGGAGGGGGCACATCAAATCAGCATTTCCTATGTCTAACAAAATGCATTTTTAATTAATCTCTCTCGCGAGAGATCTTAAACACTCATACGTTCATAAAATGAGATCCGTGTAGTTAGTTAGGGTGAAGTTGAATAATTTATACGTCCCCACACTAAACACAGAGAGAGTAAATATCAACATCAAAGATGGACCGTTTAAAATGCTAAGCTTAATACACGGAATGTCTTAATGTAATAAATATTGTATTTTTCCACCATTATTTGAACTTAATTAACATTCATGTAATATTTATGCACAGAGGAAGTTCTTGTCTATTTACATATAGAGTGATTAAACACAGGCTTGCTTTTATAAACCCACCAGACGTCTCACATTGCTAAGACCAACAAGCCTATGTGGTTGTGTGTGTGTTTATGTCAGTGTACGTGTGTGTGTGTGTGTGTATGCACGTGCATGTCTATGTGTGCAAAAAAAAAAAAAGCACTGCAACGCAATTATGGGTTGAGTACTATTAATAGTACAGTGTTCAGGGTTGAGGTAATTTGCAATTTCTATGTCATTATATTATAATAGAAATTCCGTTGAAAAAGGAAAAAAATAAGTGTTCAAGTCAACAAATTCTGAATTGAAATTTTAATCAAAATGTGTCAAATGTGCCGAAACAGAATGAGAATTTGAGCTAAATTAACATCTAATAGGCTCAGGGTCTTAATGCTGCAGTCTGTGGCTCAATTCACATTATATTCAAGCAATTTAGGAGTTGAATTTCACAACACAAAACCTTTATATTGTTATTTTCTAAGGATTCACATGCAATCAAGCATATTGTAAAACTTTGCTTGACAGTGAACTTTCTGCCCCGTATGATCGTATTTCTGTGTCATGTTCAGTGCTGAGAAGTTGGTCCTACCTGACGACAGAGGCATGGAGTATTTGTCCGAGTGGCGTCTGCGCAAGGCTCCCATACTGGGGACGTTTGCTCCTCCCAGTATTGATGGCACCTGGGGCATGGCGGCCATGGGTGTGATAGGTGCTGTGGGCGTGGTGGGTGTCTGAGGTAAGTTGGGGGGCGATGCTGAGGGCAAGTTCTTGGACATGGTGACGCTGGACACCAAGTTGAGCTGGGGTTGGAGGAAGATAAAGCGCGGGCGGAGGGTGAGAACGAGACAGATGCAAGCAGCAGGGAGAGAGAGAGAGAGAGAGGGAGACAGAGAGAGGGTGGCATTATTTCGTGGTTTCTCTGACAGAGCAGAGTGTCTGCTCTCCTCCTCTCTAACACAGCTGTGTTTCCACTGACAAGGCTCGTGGAGAGGAGCCAGCCCATCTCCACTAATTACAACCACCAAATTGTATCATAAGAATTCTAATTAGAGCATGCTGTTCAAGATTATCCAACGATCAGCCTCCGTGTTATCCCAGCCCCATCTCTCTTTATCTCTCTATTTATCACTCCCTCCCTCCTTCTCTATCTCCCCCACTACAATCACCCGTACTCCTTCTACACTGGAGCAATGAGCTGGTGAAAAATCTTGCTCGCTGTTGGTGCGAATCGGGCTACAAGGGTTATCCGAGCCAGGTGCAGAACCACCACCCAAAGTCATGACACATTATGTTCTACTTTGGTATGAAAGGGAAACCCTGAAGTTGCTGTTGCGGCGCCGTTGTCGTAGATATTGGCAGGGACTCTGAGCCCACTAGGCCGAAGATCCTGCTCTTACAATTGGAAGCAGTAAATGGATTGTGTAGCAAGAGAGTGTAATAACCGTGCTAGATAAACCCGGTTGATTGCTCATTCATACGAGACTAAATCTGATAAAACAACAGTTATAGTTGATTTATCCCCCCTCATCCAGTGAGACTTCACGAGGAAGTATAACAATTAGTAGAGGTTCATGTTCTTTCTCTAAGGTAGAAAAAAAAGACACTTTTAAGTAAAAAAAAATACTGCATGGACTCACACTCACATTCACTCTGTCTTTGTCTCCTCCACTCCTTCAACATCAGGGACCAGAGAGTGTTAGTCACCTCTGGCACGAATGCCAACCGGGCTCGCTAATCGTCCGGCTTTTCCACCACTTTTTGCGCCTGCTTCCCAAATCTCATGTGAGAGGCTCTAACCGACTGGAAAATTCCTAACTGACCTTTTAGTCTCTGCGCTAATTTGGTTGGAATGGTAATGACATCGTTACATATTCAGACCAAATTGCCTTAATTGTGAGTCTACAAGTGGAATGCATGCGATGCGAGAGTTTGAATTAAAAGCGACTTGAAAGAAGGAAGGGGATGGGGGGGGGGGGGGCGAAGGCGCGGAGAGATGGAGGAGCGAGGCTGAGGAGAAGGTATCGGCGGTCATTTGTGGCATGTGTTGATAAATACGATGAAATGTCAAGTTTGAGAGACTCCAGTGGATGTGTGTGTGTGTTTTCAGATGATAATTATATGCCCACTTAGCTGTAATGAGCTGCTACACAGTGAGCTGGGACCAGGGCTGGCTGCATATATACTGAGTACAGTTGAGAAAGTATATACATCTATTTGTGAAAGTTTTTGATTTATACTGTTTTTATTCCCATTTATCTGATATTTACCGTCTTCGTTTCCTTTGGCCTTATTCTCATTTTATCTTGTTTGGTTTTCTTTCCTTTTGTGAAGCACTTTGTAACACAGTTAAGAGTGCTGTATGAATAAAGTTTATTAATATAAGTATTATTATTACATTTCAGAATCAGAATCAGAATCAGAACTGTTTATTGCCAGAGTATGTTTCACATACAAGGAATTTGTCATGGCGGGTGGTGCATAACATTAGACAATAACATTAAACAATAACACAATAGGTCAGAATGTATATACACAGCCAATAGTCAAAAACATCTAAATAAAACAAGAACTACAGCCATGTACTGGACATTGCTTTTAGAAAACTACTAATTATGGTCAGTCTTTTTGCAAATGGCCATCAACTTCATAGTGGTTGAGGTCATGACAGTGTGTGTGTGTGTGTGTGTGTATGTATATAATATGACTTTGCTCAAAAGAGAATTTGATAAACACTCACATACTGTATGGCAGGAAACACCTCAAAATATGGAAACTAAATTCAAAATTCCCTGTCCTGTATGCCGCCTCTTCACCTACGAGACACAGCAACAAGCGTGACATGTTTGCATGTGTGCTATCCCATTATTATTGGCTAAATAGAATTGTATACGGTCAAACGGATGGAGGAGTGAACACTTTGCCACCTCTCGCACTCATCTGAATACACGCAAGGTTGAGCGAGAGAGAGAGAGAGAGAGAGAGAGGGAGAGAGGGAGAGAGAGAGAGCGAGAGAGAGATAGAGATTATTATTCAGAACTTGCAGCCTTGCTAACTTTGATTCTCAACCATCCATGGCATGGCCAAAAGGTAGCATTTAATGAAGTGCGATTCAGAGAATAAATGGGGTCATATTGGAGACAGTGCGCTGGTGTCTTGTATTCGTCTGGCATTGGTTATTCGTGAGCTTCACTAATGAAAAAATAGGATTTATAACACAGACTACTCATATTTATCAAATGTCTCAGCTGTTTCTATCCTGCACCTGTGATTGTCCCGGGCGTAAATCCATGCTGTCATTTGAGATCCGACAACCATCTCTCTTTTGTTATGTCTGTTCACTTTTGCCACACACACACACACGCATGTTGTTCGCCGCGCCAAATCGTCATCTTAAAAAGCGGGGGAGCCTTAAAACTGAGGACTTAACTGTTCGTTTAAGAATTCTGTCTGAATTGCCCCCACCATCAAATGCAATTAGCTGCTCTTTCATGTGTGCTTTATGTAATGCAATACTTCATTAGCATCATTCATTCATATTCAGGCGTGGATTATAGGCTGCAAATTCTTTATTGGGCGAGAAGGAACCAAGCTGCTGGAGTTTTGAAGATTAAAAAAAAAAAAAGCTACAGAAGGGGAGAGAGAGAGAGAGAGAGAGAGAGAGAGAGAGAGAGAGAGAGAGAGATTGAATAAGAAAAAGGGAGTTTGATTCCTGATGGAATTATGGGATAATTATGCTATCTTGTGATTATCTACATTCTATGATGAGAGGTGATGAGGAAAATTATTCCATTGAAAGTAGGCACTTACTAAGCAGCAGAAACACGCTAACAATGTTTTGCTCTGAAGTATTTAAAAAAAACGTCTAAAACTGGAAAGAAATAATGTTTGCTCAAATGTATCATCTTATGAAATTCAAATACTGGTTTTGGAAATGTATTCATAATCATTCCATCGAAAAGTAAAAGGCGAGAGAAAGAAAATGACATCTTTTTACTTCTTCGAGGACCCCTTTCACAATCTTGGACATTTCTTTTCTGCAGCCAATTTCAGCAGCACTGCTGGTATTTATGTCAACACCGCACCATCGTCTCCACTCAGCTGTAATTTACAGGTGTTTGTTGTTAAAATGACATATCTTCTCCTCTCTCATTCCGTTTTGGAGTGCTGCTGCGGCCAACCGAGCCAAACAGTCATCAGCAGCCAACAGGTTGTTTTGGCTATTATATCCATCACAAAGAAATGACCCTGTATTTTACACGAGGACTCCACTGCCATCTAATACACTTGCAAACTCTATTGTCCTCTCACGGTCGCACAATACCTGATATGAAATAGAACTTTGAATCACAAATCCCATCCACCCCCCCCCCCCCCCCCCCCCCCCCCCCCCCCCCCCCCACCCTTTCATCTTCCGTCGCTCACACAACTGCCGCGTGGTTAAACTGTTCATTTTCTGTGTGGGGGCCCTCATTCACAGCCAAGTCTGTTAACAGTGGCCAGAGCAATATGCACTCACTGGTTTGGGAGATGACTTGGGTTCCGAGGGCCGCATGTGCAAGTGGGCCATCATCGCCTGAAGACGCTCACGTTCTTTAGAAAGCTGTTAAGAGAGAAGAAGAAGAGAGTACATTAGGGTAGATTAGAGGAGAGGAGAGGAATAGAAAGAAGGAGGAGAATAAATAACATGAGACATAACATTGGGGTGGTAGACAGACAGAAAGAAGATGTTTCATAGAAACCAAGCGAGAAAGAGATAGTTCTGCCGGGGATGTAAGGGGAACAAGAGGTTGGGGGGGAGGACAGGGTGCAGACAGGTCAGGCCAAACAAATAGCATTTCATCTTTTTGTCAATAGCAAAATTTAGGTCAGCGAGACTCTGACAGTAACAAGCTAGTTGGGCCATAAATTAGGTGGTGCTGAGTGTCTGCTCAAAGTCCTGTGGACACTGTTAGGGGGATGGAGCGCAGCCAGCCGCTGCTGAGAGGTGAAGGGGTCTTCCAAACAGGGTGCCAGGCGGCTCCGCCTCCCCGGTCCAGTTAGTGGCCCCGGCCATCGCCTATCATCAATCTAATTCACAGGGAGTGACAGGGACTGGACCAAGTGAAAGGCTCAACCCCCCCCCCACACCCTTAACACACACACAAGAACCAAACACACGGAGAAACACACATGCGAGTAGGCGTGCACACACACACACACACACACACACACACACACACACACACACACAC